TATTTCCTATTTTTGTGACACACCTGTACCAAAAAAGAAAGAAACATTGCTAATTACAAAAACAATTTTTTCCGCTAACTATGACAAGGAAAGGAAAATTCTTAAAAAAATGCTGTTTTCCAAAAAAAAAAAAAAGAATTTTTCTACAGTTTGCACGTTCACAACAAAGTGATAGTGATAACAACCACAAATATTTTCATCATCAGCAGCAATATTTGCTCATCATGCTAAAGCTAGTAGTAGATGTATGAAAATTCTTAAAAAAAGAAAACTATTGCCAGGCATCATTATCGTCATTCTCATCAATATAGCTCCTCTTCTATTTTGTTAATAATTCCTAGGGAAGCAAAAGGGAATGCGAGCATTTTTTTTTTGGCAACAGATTTTTGTTGTTGCTCGTCGTCGTTATTTTCATAATGCATGTGGTAAATATTTGATGTTGTGGAAATTTTTCTTTTTCGATTTTATTTTTTCATCTTTTGCTATAAAATCATCAGAGATAATTGAAATATTTTTTGTTAATATCCTTCTGTTTTTTAAACAGACAAAGTTGGCATGAGTACACTTCCAAAAATGTTGATGTGTGTGCGAAGCAGTAACCACATCACTAAAAACCATTAATAGCAACACTTTTCATCATTATCGATTTATGAAATATTAGTGGAAAAATCCTTTATAACACACACACATACATAGTTTTGGTAGCATATTTTTGGGCGAAAATATGTAATAGAATAGAAATGCATATTTTTGGTTGTATTAAAGTTAATAAGGTTAGGAATTTATATACATATATGTATATATATTTTTAATAAAAAATAAGTAGTTAATATAATCAATAAACCAGTCAAACGACTAACCATAGACTAGTCAATAATATAGTCTATAGACTAGTCAGTAGTCCATTCCATAGATTAGTCAATAGTCTAGTCCATACACTAGTCAATGGTCTAGTGCATAGACTAGTTAATAGTTTAATCCATAAACCAGTCAATAGACTACTCAATAGCCTAGTCAATAATCTGGTCTATAGATTAGTCAATAGTCTAGTCCATAGACTAGTCAATAGTGTACTCCATAGACAAGTCAATAGTCTAGTTTATAGACTATTCAGTAGTCTAGTCCATAGACTAGAACTAGTTTATAGACTATATTATTGAGTAGTCTTCTAACTTGTTTATGGACTAGTCTATCTCTTATCTATATCCTAGTCTACGGACTATAATAGATCTTACTTTAGAGAGTAGATTAGAATATATTCTAGAGCATAGACTAGATTCTATACTAGAACTTATACTAGAATCTATACTAGAGCCTATACAAGACTGTATACTAGATCCTATACTAGACTCTATATTGAATCCCAGGCTAGACTTTACTAGAACCTATACCAGACTCTATACCAGGCTGCGGGGGAGGGGTTGACCCTACTCTAGACTCTATACTAGAGTCTAGATTAGAAAATATACTAGATTCTAGACTAGACTCTGCACTAGAGCCTATACTAGAGACTGTAATAGACTCTATACTAGAGCCTATACTAGACTCTATACTAGAGCTCTATACTAGAGCTCTATACTAGACTCTATACTAGAGCCTATACTAGACTCTATACTAGAGCCTATACTAGACTCTATACTAGAGCCTATACTAGACTCTATACTAGAGCCTATACTAGACTCTATACTAGAGCCTATACTAGACTCTATACTAGAGCCTATACTAGACTCTATACTAGAGCCTATACTAGACTCTATACTAGAGCCTATACTAGACTCTATACTAGAGCCTATACTAGACTCTATACTCGAGCCTATACTAGACTCTATACTAGAGCCTATACTAGACTCTATACTCGAGCCTATACTAGACTCTATACTAGAGCCTATACTAGACTCTATACTAGAGCCTATACTAGACTCTATACTAGAGCCTATACTAGACTATATACTAGAGCCTTAACTAGACTCTATACTAAAGCCTATACTAGACTCTATACTAGAGCCTATACTAGATTATATACTAGAGCCTAGACTAGACTCTATACTAGGGGCTAGACTTGAGTCTATACTAGAGCCTAAACTATACTCTATATTAGATCCTATACTATACTCTATACTAGAGCCTATATTAGATTCTATACTACAGCCTATACTATACTCTGTACTAGAGTCCATTCTAGAATCATGCTAGAGCCTAAACTAAACTCTATAATAGAGTGTTGATTAGACTCTAGACTGGATTCTATAACAAATCAAAATCACTTAAGACTCTCTAACTCTTGTTTAGTATTGAACTTTCAAGGTTTCTTTTTAAATATATATTATTTTGTGTTCTATATAAATAATTTCAATTTCTGTTTCACAAATAATAAATTTGCATATCCATTTCACTAAATTTATGCAATAACTAAAACAAAAAATAATTCTTGTTCTATATTCTGTTATAACTTATTCATAAATAAATTTGTTCATTTCTAAAACATTTACTGTAAAATTAATTTTTTTTTTTGAAAAATAATATCAATTTAATACAATTCCCACTTTATAATGCAAAACACAATAATACAATTGTGTTAATTTACACCAACTAATAAAACAAAAAAACAACAAATGCAATAAAACCAACCAGATCAAAGGTCAAATTTGTATACTATGTCTTTTTATATCAAACTCTAGACACAATTGAATGCAAAAACAAAACAAAAAATACTTTTGAATAAAAAGACTCAAACAAAAGGAACTATAGAGAACAGAATTAAAAAAATTAAATAAAATGTGAAATGAATTGGGGCGTTTCTCTATGTCTATTAAAGATCACTCAAAGGGGTTAATTGGGATTTTCAATTAAAAAACATAAAAAAGTGTTTGCTCTAAGTACTATAACTAGTCATTTTAACTAAGTCAAAGCTAAAGTAAATTTGCACCAAAATTAAATAATTGAAAGAAATCTTTTTTAATTAAAAAACATAAAAATACAATTTTTGATTAAATACTAAAAATAAATTAATGATTTTCTTGTTTTTGTCTTATGGAAGGAACTTAAAAGTGAACTTAAAGTATTTTAGGAATGTGCAATTACTAAATAAAAATATATAGAAATGAAATAAAAAGCAAATGAAGGCAAGGATAGACAGACATACAGTTAAAAGCAGCTAAATATTTAAGCTTAAAGGTAGAAATATACAGAATTATAAATAACTTCAAAACTAAAAAAATAATACTTAGCATATCTTCAGGGATTTTAGTCAAAGTATATAACAGCATACTTTAAGGAAGATTTAAAAACAATAAAGTATGTTTTTAGAAGACGTAAATACGCAGCAAAACAATATTTTTCTGAACTTTGCAAAACATGTTTTTGAAATAAATTATAAAAACAAAAATATAACTTAATATATTCTGTAGGGATTTGAATCAAAGAATATAATAGCATACTTTAAGGAACAATAAAATATTTAATTGAAATCTATATTTGAGCCAAGTATACACTCTTTACTGTCTCTAGTATAGAGTATAGTCTATAGTCTACAGTAGACCTTAGACTAGACTCTATACTAGAGACTAGAGTAGACTCTATAGTAGAGCCTAGAGTACACACTATACTAGAGCCTAGACTTGACTCTATAGTAGAACCTAGACTAGACTCAATACTAGAGCCTAGATTAGACTGTAAACTAGAGTCTAGACTCTAGACTATACTAGAGCTTAGAGTAGACTCTATACTAGAGCCTAAAGTAGACTCTATACTAGAGCCTAGAGTAGACTCAATACTAGAGCCTTGAGTAGACTATATACTAGAGCCTAGAGTAAACTTTATACTAGAGCCTAGACTAGACTCTATACTAGAGCCTAGACTAGACTATATACTTGAGCCTAGAGTAGACTCTATACTAGAGCCTAGACTAGACTCTATACTAGAGCCTAGACTAGACTATATACTAGAGCCTAGACTCTATATTAGAGCCTAGACTCTATATTAGAGCCTAGATTAGACTTTGTACTAGATCCTAGACTAGACTAAGATAAGAGCCTAGACTAGAATCTCTAGTAGAGCCTAGACTATACTCTCTACTAGAGCCTAGACCAGACTCTATACTAGAGCCTATACTCTATACTAGAGCGTACACTAGACTCTACACAAGAGCCTAGACTATACTCTCTACTAGAGCCTACACTAGACCCTCTACTAGAGCCTAGACTAGACTCTCTACTAGATACTTGACTAGACTCTATACTAGAGTCTAGACTAGACTCTATACTAGATCCTTGACTAGACTCTATACTAGAGCCTAGACTAGACTCTATACTAGAGCCTAGACTAGACTCTATACTAGAACCTAGACTAGACTCTATACTAGAGCCTAGACTAGACTCTATACTAGAGCCTAGACTAGACTCTATACTAGAGCTTAGAGTAGACTATACTAGAGCCTAGACTAGACTCTATACTAGAGCCTAGACTAGACTCTATACTAGAGCTTAGAGTAGACTATACTAGAGCCTAGAGTAGAATTTATACTAGAGCCTAAATTAGACTCTACACTAGAGTTTAGACTAGATTCTATACTAAAGTCCAGACTAGATTCTACACTAGAGGCTAGACTTGAGTATATACTAGAGCCTGGGCTATACAAGAGCCTAGACCTGACTCTATACCAGACGCTATACTAGAGACTAGACTATACACTGTACTAGAATCTACTATATTATATACTTGAGCCTAGACTATTCTAAATGTTATAGCCTAGACTAGAATCTACAGACTATACGCTGAGCCTAGATTGAATCTTTACTAGATCCTAAACTAGATACTATACTGGAGTCTAGACTTGACTTTTTACTAAAGCCTAGATACTATACTATTAAAATTTGAACAATTTCTCCTTTATAAACCTTTGATAAATGTTCAGGAATAAGACCCTTGGTCTACAAAGTATTTCTTTTCATATTTTTAAATATATTTTTTAACAATTTCCCTCTTCTTTGCTCTTCTTTCAGGACGCAACGAACTTATCGCCCGTTATATTAAATTACGCACCGGCAAAACGAGAACCCGCAAACAAGTCAGTTCTCACATACAAGTGTTGGCACGTCGAAAACTGCGCGAAATACAGGCGAAAATCAAAGTTGTAAGTTAAATTTTTGTGTGACGCTTACTAAAATCATAAAAAAATTTAATTTATCTATTTGATTTTATTAATTTATATTTCGTTTTTAAATCATTAACCACATAAATATTTTGCCATTTTATATGTATATGTTTCCTGCGTTTTTCATGCTTTATTTCATAATTTATCATTTTATCGTTTAATATACAAAATTATATTGTAAAAAAAGAAATTCCCAAAGAAAATGAAAGTCATTTTTTTATTAACAAAAGAAAAAAAGCAAGTGTTTTTATTAAGAAATTTACATAAAAAATTAAACTAAAATTAAAGCTCTTTAAAATAAAAGATAAAGAAAAATTTAAAGCCTATTTTTAGGGTGATTGAAATATTGCTAACTATTGCCTAGTTTTAGGAGGCAAACTAAAAAGTTAAAAGATTTAACAATTTTTCCATATTTGATTTCTAGTTTTTTAGTATTACTTACTTATTTTAAACTTACAACTAAATAAATTACAAATAAAACTATTACAAAAAAAATGAGAAAAACACTTAACTTACTTTGATATTTCACATAGAAAAAGATGCCATCACAGGCTACACAAAAAACAGACCAGAAACAAATACAATACACATAGAAAACAACAATAAAATTGCAAAAGGAAAAACTACAAAAAAAATTAAAAACATACAAACTTTTTTTTGAACTTTACACAAATGCATTTTTTTAACAAATAGAAAAATAAAATTCATTTCATGTACATACATACATACACTGCTGAGAAACTACTGCTGCTGCTACCATAGCAAAGCTGGCATTCAGTCAGTCATAGCAAACAAAAGCAATAAACTATACAAAGGTTTGCATCCTGCCCAGGGAGTGTATCTTAAACTACCAACTTTAGGTACATACATACATACATTTGTATGGTATGTATGTAGATGTACTTACATATAACAATAAAATTTTATATAAAATAAATAAGAAACATTTAACAAAAAGATTTTGTGCGTTCAGTTTAAAAAAAAGAAACCTTTGACAGTCATGGCAAAAACATAAAGGAATAAAACACAAAAACAAACAACTATAATGTCAAAGAAAATTGTTAAAATTTTTTGTAATTTCGCAAAAAGTATAAAAAACTGTTTTTCTATTTTTTTTATATATATAAAAGAATATTTCAAACTTTTCTAGACTGTTTAGCTAGAAATCAAAGCACTTTAAAATATTATATTTTTTTCCCAGGGCCTGAATCACTTTGATTTGAAATAAATTAAAATTATAACATAATTATGTTAAAAACATTAAAGGCAGTGACATATATTTCAGGCAGATGTTGGATCATATATCATATCATTAGATCATATTTTAATCAGTATTCACTCTATACAAGAACATGGATTGGACTCCATACTAGAGTTTGCATTATTAACAAAACTAGAAAATAATGTACAATCTATATTCTAAACTAGAGCTTAGATTAGTTTCTGTCCTACCAACCTACCTAGACCATACTATATTCAAAATCTCTATACTGTAGTCTTGATAAGGTTTTATGCAAGAGCTTAGATTAGACTCTATTCTAAAATCTAGACCCAACTTTATTCAAGTGTCTGGACTAGCCTTTATATTAGAGAATAGATATGATTATACTCTATATTACAACCTAGATTAGGCTCTACACAAAAGTCTTGAATAGGTCCTAGACTACACTTAATACTGGATGCTAAATACAGTCCATATTAGAGTCTAGACTAGTGCCAATACTAGAGTTTAGACAACAACCTATACCAAGAATATACCCTATACTAGAGCCTAAACTAGACTCTGAACTATATCTTAGACTAGACTCTAAACTAGAGCCTAGAATAGATTCTAAACTAGAGACTAGAATGTATTATAGACTCTAAACTAGAGATTACAATAGACTCTGTTCTAGAGCCTAGGCTAGACTGTGTACTTGAGCATAGATTAAACTCTATACGAGAGTCTGGAACACTAGAGCCTATACTCTATTTCAGAGCCTAAACTAAACTCTACTCTAGAGCATAGACTAGACTCTACTCTAGAGCATAGACTAGACTCTATTCTAGAGTCTAGGCTAGACTATATATTAAATGCTAGACTAGACTCTATACTATGTACTAGACTAAGCTCTATATCTAGCTCTAGGCTAAACTCTATTCCAAAGTCTAGACTAGACTATACCAAAGCCTAGAGTACACTAGACTCTCTACTAGAGCATTAACTAAAGTGTAGTTCACTCAATGTTAGACTGCATCTAGAGTCTTTATTATACTCTATAATAGGGTCTAGATTAGACTCTATACTAGAGCATAGACTAGACTCTAAACTAAATCCTAGACTAGACTCTAAATTAGAGCCTAGAATAGATACTAAACAAGATACTAGAATATATTCTAAACTAGATCCTATTATAAACTAGAGCATAGAATAAACTCTGTACTAGCGCCTAGACTTTGTACTAGAGCCTAGGCTGGACTGTTTATTTGATTAGATTAAACTCTGAGTTAGAACCTTGATTATACTCTATACTAGAGCATAGATCAAACTCTATACAAGAGCCTGGACTACACTAGAGCCTATACTGGAGTATATTGTAGAGCCTAGTCAAGACTCTATTCCAGAGCATAGACTAGACTCTATTCTGTAACCTAGACTATATCCTACTCTAGAGCATAGGCTAGACTCTATATTAGATCCATAACCTAGACAAGACTCTATACCATGTACTAGACTAAGCTTTTTATTAGAGTATAAACTAGACTCTATTTTAGACCCTAGACTAGACTGTATACCACAGCCTAGGCTAGACTCTATTCTAGAGCCTGACTAGGCTATACACCAGAGCCTAGGCTAGACTCTATTCTAGAGCCTGACTAGGCTATTCACCAGAGCCTAGGCTAAACTCTTTTCCAGAGCACTTTACAAGATCCTAATAAAGCCTTAACCAAAGTCTAATTGAATCAATGTTAGACTAAATCTAGAGTCTTGATTATACTCTATAATAGGGTCTAGATTAGACTCTATACTAGAGCCTAGACTAAAGACTAATTCAGTCTGTATTAGATCAACTGTTTTGTTTAAAATGTTAGTTTATTTTTTTTTTAACAAATCAATAAATTTTTAAAAATTTTCAACATTTTGTTTCAGTGTAAATACAAACCAAAAAACAACAAATCATAATCATCCCATTTAAAATGCTAAAACATTAAAGAAAAGTAGTTTTCAAAACTACTTTAAAAACCAGCTGCGTTTAAACCCATTTTAAAAAAATCATCCTTCAAATTCACACATACTCTATAACTTACAAGGTAACATCTTAAACATCCAGGATACCATAACATTATACTATCCAAAAAAAAAAACAAACTCCATTCATCTACCATCTCCACAACACACCACATTTACATACATACATTTATACTCAAAATCAACCAATATCGCCTCCCCAGAAACTTCAGAAATCAAGTCAAGCTACGAGTTTTTTTTTTGTTTCACACACTCTACAACTTCACTTTGAAAATTTTATTTTCGGTTACAGGAACCAAATGGTGTTTTAGGTGGTCCTGGTGCAAATAATGCCGCCGTTTTACAGCTGTTAAATGAAAAGGAAAAGGCATTACAGGCTATGTCTGGCATGACCAGTTCACAAATAGTATCCGCTCAGGCGGTGAAAAATTTGACATTAGCTGCCTCTGCCCTTAGTGGTTTACACCACCACCACCATCATCATCATGCTGTGCATCCACACCACCCACATCATCATCTGCACCACCAACACCACCACCACCCTAGTAATCAACACCACCACCATCCCTTACACAATCACACGTCGGCCAATTCGTCCACGTCGTCTTCGTCTTCTTCGGCTGTTAGCGCAAATCCTTTGGGTCATCCTTTACGGCCAGATATGCCACCACCACCGCCGCATCCCCACCATCATCTCCACCATCACCACAATCAACATACAACAAATTCGGTTAGTACCCCAGTAACAGCAATAGCAACAACGACTGCAGCAGCAGCAACTACTACTGCTACCAATATTAATTCGACAAATTCGTCGTTTACTAATAGTAATCCTAACAATAGCAATAACAATAGTATAACTGATAATATTAGTAGTAATCATAACAATAGCAAGACCCTACAATCTTCTACGCATTTGCAACATCATGCAACGGCAACAGCAGCAGCCGCCTTAGGTACTGGCTATTTGCAACATCATCAACAACAATTGGCTGCTGTAGCTGCTGCTGCTGCTGTTTCCTCGTCTTGTTCATCAGCGCCTGTGGCCTCGTCCTTGCCTTTATATCCGGTAGTAAGATTGTCTTGTACTAATTGCTATTTGTGTGTCCTTCTTCTGTATCTGTATTCTTTATCTGATTATGTTTGTATGTTCGTATGTAAATTAGTATTTTAAGGCGCTGCTAACTTTAACCCATTGTGTTCGTAAGTCATTTACCGACATATATATATGTGTGTGCATTTTTTTATTGTGGTGGTATCATTGAGATTTTAAATGTATGTGTGCTAGATGTATTTTTAATTATGGGTTATATATGCAATGACTTTAGGTATTTATATTTATAGAGTAAGTAACTTTTGAAGACCGTTTCCAAAGGGATCTTTAAAGCAATGGATTAAAAGTATTGTTTATTGACTCCACAGTAGATCTATTAGAAATTTTAAAATAAAACGTTGGCGTACTCCAAATCCAGAAACCCATGATCTGTTAGAAGATCAGAAAGCCGATAAAAAGTTAACCCTCATCTTTGATGAAAGTATATCCACAAGATTCTCTAGAACTAGATGAGACTATATAAACGATTTTATACTAAAGCTTAAACTAGATTATATGTGGCCTCCGGTAGGTTAGTGGTTAGTGTTCTAGTCTGGTAGACCGGAGGTGGTGGATTCGATTCCCACCTGAGGCACTGGTTAAGGAGCGCACAACAGGCCCGATAGAGGCCTAGGTGTATTTCTTCGGATTTGATGTATATACATCCTCCTTTCAAACTAACTAACTAACTAACTAAACTAGATTATAGAATCTAGATTCCGTACTATATTCACCATTTCAATTCGAATCGAAACATATAATCGTAAAGCATCGATATAAAATGGATTTCGTTTTATGCTGGAACAACTTTTTTCAATCGTTCCGTATCTGAATGCAGAAACGTAATTGATACGCCGAATAAGGGGATTGACACGCTCCAAGCTGCAAACGTCAAAACATGGTTGAAAGTCCTCAAAGGGAATCTGTAGTCTCAAAATTGTAGCAACTCAACATTAATGTTTCAAATACTATCTTATTCTCTTAAATTTCTAGATTTCTTACCAGATCTTTTGACTACAACATCTCTCTTCTAAATCCCGATAAACTTCCAGAAAACTCAGATTAGATCTGATTTAACTTACTTTCAATATCTCAGGTTCAAAGTTCTTAAACTACCAGATCGTAGAGATCTAATTAACACTTACATTAAAGTAGAATATGCCCAAAAAGATAATTTAAGCTGACGCTGACGGAGGTGTGTTTCATGAACCGATAGTGTATGAGAGAGACCGTTTAACTATGAAACGATTACAGAAGAACTTATAGAAATAACATTCGAGGTCTGTTCGTACATACATAACTCGCTATACTTACAAATAGAAAATATTCACCCTAAAATCTACTTTGTAATAATAAAGTAGAGAGCGATGACCGCAAAAGTGAGATCATTAAACTCAAGACGATTAAAGTTACCACTTTAATAAGGCGATCGTGCAGTACTTTCGTACTGCATCATTCTTAACATGATATATAACATTGTAAGCTATCAGGACATAACCTTTGAATGTTTAAAGCAGTTATCGGCAATAGCTCTCTCACTCTTCTTAAGCTCACGTCTACATAAAAATCAGTAAGACCTGGTCCACACTAGGAAACTTTTGTTGAGAAACTTTTTCTTAATTCTCTTTTGAAGTTTCCTTAATGTCCACACATAGAAACTTTTGTTTCAGAAACTACGTATTAATTGCATTGATTTGTTGTTGTACGAATGAGAAGAATAACAAAACAAGTATCCGAGTACGAGAAACTCCGTACCGCGAGAGAGATGAATGATATTCTTTCTCTTTCTCTCTCACCCAAAATCAAAAGTTTCCCAAAAAAAGTTTCCTAGTGTGGACCGGCAGTAAGACAACTTATTTTGATTTTAAGCTTCATAATATAAAAAGCTAAATCAAAAGCTTTTGGATGGAATTAAATATTTATTCCAGTATTTTTAAGGCGTTCGTAATTAAAATAAAAACCATTAGTACTATAAGAAACCAATCATAAAATATAAATTATTCATTTAAAACTTAAAGCTTGCTCTCGCAGAAAACTCTTAATATCAATATTAATTAGATTTTAAAGTAATTAAATAAATGTGTGCCTCATTTTTAATAAAGGATAATAAAAACCTTGCTTTTTTTCATAAAAAATGGCTTTTATGTTAAAAAAAAAACCTTAGTAATAACTATTTAATTGATGCTTTTTATATAAAGCTTTTATTAACCTTACATCAATTATTTTTCTCCCCTATTTAGCAATTTTGGCAACCCGGTCTACAGCCGAGCACTTCACAAGAGTAAGTTATCATATATTATTAATTTTCAAGGCTTAAAATAATTTATCTGATTACATTGACCCTCAAAGTTTTTATGATTACAGTATAAAACCATTTGCACAACAACCATATCCCGCCGGCAAACCATCAACAGCTGTATCTGGTGATATTGAAGCTGGACTTCCGCCAGCACAGCTGCCGTGGGAGGGCAGAGCGATAGCAACGCACAAATTTAGATTATTAGAATTTTCAGCGTTTATGGAAATAAGACGAGATGAAATTGTGAGTATAATTAGCAATTATATATTTATTAAAAAATGGTTTAATTATTAATTTTTATCTTTTTTAATTATTATAGTACAACCGGCATTTGTTTGTACAATTGGGCGGTAAACCCTCCTTTTCGGATCCCCTACTTGAGACTGTTGATATACGACAAATCTTTGATAAATTCCCCGAAAAATCGGGTGGTCTTAAAGATCTCTATGAGAAAGGTCCTCAGAATGCTTTCTATTTAGTGAAATGTTGGGCCGATTTAAATACAGACTTAACTGGCACCGAAACCGGTGACTTTTATGGCGTAACTAGCCAGTAAGTAGAGCTCTTTTAGAAACATAACTAAACTAGAAATAATGCAGAACAGAACTATTAATATCGCATAATTGAAAATGAACTAGAATGGAACTGCAACTGAACTAGAATCGAACTAGAACTGAACTAGAACTGAACTAGAACTGAACTAGAACTGAACTAGAACTGAACTAGAACTGAACTAGAACTGAACTAGAACTGAACTAGAACTGAACTAGAACTGAACTAGAACTGAACTAGAACTGAACTAGAACTGAACTAGAACTGAACTAGAACTGAACTAGAACTGAACTAGAACTGAACTAGAACTGAACTAGAACTGAACTAGAACTGAACTAGAACTGAACTAGAACTGAACTAGAACTGAACTAGAACTGAACTAGAACTGAACTAGAACTGAACTAGAACTGAACTAGAACTGAACTAGAACTGAACTAGAACTGAACTAGAACTGAACTAGAACTGAACTAGAACTGAACTAGAACTGAACTAGAACTGAACTAGAACTGAACTAGAACTGAACTAGAACTGAACTAGAACTGAACTAGAACTGAACTAGAACTGAACTAGAACTGAACTAGAACTGAACTAGAACTGAACTAGAACTGAACTAGAACTGAACTAGAACTGAACTAGAACTGAACTGAACTAGAACTGAACTAGAACTGAACTAGAACTGAACTAGAACTGAACTAGAACTGAACTAGAACTGAACTAGAACTGAATTAGAACTGAACTAGAACTGAACTAGAACTAAACTAGAACTGAACTAGAACTGAACTAGAATTTAACTTGAACTGAACTAGAACTGAACTAGCACTAAACTAGAACTGAACTATAACTGAACTAGAACTGAACTAAAACTGAACTAGAACTGAACTAGAACTCAACTAGAACTGAACTAGAACTGAACTAGAACTGAACTAGAACTGAACTAGAACTGAACTAGAACTGAACTAGAACTGAACTAGAACTGAACTAGAACTGAACTAGAACTGAACTAGAATTGAACTAGAACTGAAATAGAATTGAACTAGAACTGAACTAGAACTGAAATAGAACTGAACTAGAACTGAACTAGAACTGAACTAGAACTGAATTAGAAATGAAATAGAACTGAAATAGAACTGAACTAGAACTGAACTAGAACTGAACTAGAACTGAACTAGAACTGAACTAGAACTGAACTAGAACTGAACTAGAACTGAACTAGAACTGAACTAGAACTGAACTAGAACTGAACTAGAACTGAACTAGAACTGAACTAGAACTGAACTAGAACTGAACTAGAACTGAACTAGAACTGAACTAGAACTGAACTAGAACTGATCTAGAACTGAACTAGAACTGAACTAGAACTGAACTAGAACTGAACTAGAACTGAACTAGAACTGAACTAGAACTGAACTAGAACTGAACTAGAACTGAATTAGAACTGAAGTAGAACTGAACTAGAACTGAACTTGAACTGAACTAGAACTGAACTAGAACTGAACTAGAACTGAACTAGAACTGAACTAGAACTGAACTAGAACTGAACTTGAACTGAACTAGAACTGAACTAGAACTGAACTAGAACTGAACTAGAACTTAACTAGAACTGAACTAGAACTGAACTAGAACTGAACTAGAACTGAACTAGAACTGAACTAGAACTGAACTAGAATTGAACTAGAACTGAACTAGAACTAAATTAGGACTAAACTTTAACTAAACGAAAACTCAGCTAAAACTAGAAAGTTCTAAAATATAACTGGAAATGGTGTAGAACTAATACTTTTCAAACGAATTTTTATACTATTAATTTCATAATTTTGATCTCTACCTCACTAGATACGAAAGTAATGAAAATGTGGTTTTGGTGTGTTCGACAAAAGTCTGCTCATTTGGTTCGCAAGTAGTGGAAAAGGTTGAAACCGAATATTCACGCTTGGAAAATGGCCGTTTTGTTTATCGCATTGAACGTTCACCCATGTGCGAATATATGATTAATTTCATACAAAAGTTGAAAAATTTACCTGAACACTATATGATGAATAGTGTATTGGAAAATTTTACAATATTGCAAGTAAGTTTTTGAATTTAAACTAAATGCAAATTAGTTATTTCAATAATTTTATTTTCTTTTTACTCAAAGGTAATTCAATCCCGCGAAACACAAGAGACATTACTCTGCATAGCGTATGTCTTTGAAGTTGCAGCACAAAATAGTGGTGCCACGCATCACATTTATCGGTTAATAAAGGAATAGCATGAACTCCCAGCATTGGCCAATAACACTAATAATAATAACAACAATAATAATAGTAATAACAACAACAATACACTGTCCACAACAACAGCACTTAATGAATTTAATAAAACCAGCAGCGGCACTGTTAATAGCAGCAGCCTTCGAACAGGTCTTGATGATCTAAGTAATGGTGTTGTTAGTGAAAACAATAGTAGATTAAACAGCAGTATGCTTTTAGAAGAACGTGGTGGTGTTATAATGGACAAAAAGGAGTCTAGTGGAACGGTGGTAAATAGTACAAGATATTTAGCTGGCAACAATACAACAACGACAATAATTAAACAATCACCCACGTCACCCATACCCATGGATGTGCAACAGCAACAAACGACGGCACATACTTCTCAACAGCCTAGAGAAGATATATACTCAACAACAACAACAACAATAGACAACCTTAATGATACTACAACAAATCTAAATGAAAATTTAGATTTGACAACAACGTCACAATCTACACAACATCAGCTGCATCATCCAACTCTTTTACAGTCCCACCACCACCAACAGCAGCTGCAACAGCAATCCTCTCATTTACAACAGCATCATCATCATCATCAACAGCACACAAATTTGAGGCTTAATGCTAATAGCAACAACAACAACAGCAACACCGTTACAAACCCCAGCAATCTTTTAATTAATTGTACACAAAATATTGCATATCCAAGACAAAAACAAGAGTTACCTTTACCTTTAACCACATCAATGACTGAGTGTCAATTGACACCCTCAGAAGTGGCAGCAGCAGCGGCTGTTGTCCACGAACAACGACCACCACCTCCTTCATATCATACAACAACAGCAACATCATCAAATTCCCAAACCTCTCAAACAAAACTATATCATCATCATGCCTCATCTGCAGCCTCTGCAAATTCAACTTGTACAAATGAAATGGATTCTATGGTTTCTTCCACAGCCCCAGATCCCTTAACTGCTTCCTCCGCCGCTGCAGCTGCTGCCTCTTCACGCCTAACGGCCTACGAACAATTTCTCAAGTTATCAGCGCAAGAATATACAACAGCCGCTGAAAGTGCAGCTTTAAATTTAAGTTCAGCAGCAGCAGCGGCTGCTGCCATGGCCGCCGCAGCAGTAGCCAATGTCACTGGAGCTGTAAGTAATAATAGTTCTTCTTCTTCACCTCTAGTGGGTGGCTTAGTAGTGGGCGCGAGTAGTGGTGGTGCAAGTGTTGGTGGTGGTGGTGGTGTTAGTAATATTTTAAGTAGTATTGGTAGTAGTAATAGTACAGCATTGCTAAATGCCAGCAATAGCAATGATTTGTCCTCGTCACTGCATCATTAAATATGTTGTATGTATTTTATTTTTGTTTGTTCGTGAATGTTATAGGAAATATTGGAAATTTTAAGGTTTAGGAAACAAATTTACATATTTTTAAATATTCTTGTTAAAATAACATTTGGTTAAATGAAAAACTTTACAATTCAGCATTTGTTAAGGAAATTGAAAAATTATCAAATTTGGGTGATTTTCAAGAACTCTATGAAAAAAACTCCATTGATTGCTTTCTATTTTGAGAAAGTTTTCGAAATTCTCTAGAATCGTATTGGTAACAACTACTTATAACACTAATTCGAATCGAAAGGAAACTATTTTGAACTACAATGAGTTATTTAAACAAATTCGAACATTTTGCCTACTCTATAGTCCAGATTATAGTATATTTTATAGTCCAGACTATAGTCTATTCTATAGTACAGACTATAGACTATTGTATAGTCCAGACTATAGTCAAGACTATAGTCTAATCTATAGTGCAGGCTACAGTCTATTCTATAGTAGTTTTGGAACTCGAAACCTTGTTTTTCTAAGTAAATTGTGAAGTTTTTTATTGTTTAAATGTTATTTTAATTACAATCAGTGATGCCAGGAGAATTTTTTCAGAAATCCCTACGCTTATGAGAAAAAATCCCTTTTTTCCCTACACCCACTTTTTATTTTCCCTACATTTTTCCCTACACTACTTTTTTCCATTTTTTTCAAAGTTTATCTTAAAAAATACAAAAATAACATCAAAAACTAAAATATTAGCTCCGTTTTATAATATACATATATGTATGTATTTTTTTTTTTTAATTTTTAGGAATGAAATTTCTAGAATTTAAATTTTATTTTTTTTTTCTTTCAATTTTACATCATACAAATCTTCCAACCCTGACTCTTCAGTTAAGATTAAAAAAAAACAATTGAAAGATTTATGGCAGTATATCGAATCGTGATAAAAATTTATTTTATGTGCCTCCAACAAAAAAATTTTCATAAAATAATTATTTTAAATAAGGTTTACTTTTGCGTTTACTTTTTGCGGTTTACTTTTATAAATTTTCAGAACATTAAATTCATTTATTTAATCCTGAGTTACTGCATTAAGCCCCCGGCTACTCTATCTATAAGGAGTCAGAATATATCGCCCTACAGGATTGGCATAATCCAAAAAGTCGTTTCAAGAAAAACGGATATGAATATTTAATGACATTTAACTATTTTTTTAATAACTTTTAAACAAATCAAGGGGTTTTAAAAATCCAGATTCAGATAGTTGAGGTTAATATGTTTCTCATCTAAATTGAAATTAAATTTTTAGTTGTCTAATATTCACAAAAACGTGGGTTTTAGTTTTTACGTTTACAAAAAATCGATTTCACATCGAAAATAATAGACATATTTGAAATTTCATAAATCTATATGAAAGATTTTAGTATGTCGCATGTTTTGAAGACCTTAGTTCAAGAAAGCCGAATTTTGGATTATGCCAGTCTTGTAGCGATATGTAGGTACATATATTGTAGAAATTACAAGCGGAATTTTTACTAACGATACACTTAAAACTGATTTCATTTTTAATTTAAAAGTTTAATACATGAAAGAGTATATTTTTAGTTGTTAAAAACTATGAAATTGAAAAATCCCTACAATTTGACAATAGTAAGAAATCTTTCCCTTTTTCCCTACACGTGAAATTTTTGAAAAAAATCCCTACAAAAAGGGAAAAATCCCTACACTTGGCATCACTGATTACAATATTTCTTTATAATAAATCTTACTAGGTTAAAAAAATTTCGAAATTTAAGAGTTTGTATTAAAAATAATTGTTTATAGAGAATTTTTTCCAGAATTAACTATTTCAGCAATTGTTTTTGATAACAAATGGGTATTAATTTGATAATTTGTTTAAAATAGAAATGATATTTCCATAAAAACAAAATTGTATAGAGATTTTAAAAGAAATTCATCATTTGTAAAAAAAATCTTTGTAGATCAAAGCTTAGCATTTTTCTTGTATCAAACTTTCAATTTTGAAGCAAATCATTCACAATAGTTGATTTTGTTTGCAACAGCTGTTGATTGTTTACAAAATTCTATAAATTTCACAACAGAGGAAATCTGTTGACGTGAGAAAAGTTAGTGAATGAAAAAAAAGTAAAATTTTTATTGCCGATCGGTATGATTAGTTCCACAATTTTCAAGCGATTTCTAAAACTCTAATCGCAACAAGCTAAGCTTTTAAAAAGCTCAATTGGATCGAAGACAAATCGGTAAGAAAATTAAGTCAAAGTATAAAAACTGGAGAAAAAAGAAATGTCTTAAGTTTGTTGCGAAAATTTCATTAATTTGTTCGAAAATGAGATTCGAAAATAATGAAATAAATTCACAGGGAAAATTTCGTTACTATGTTCGTAAATGGGATTGAAATATAATGAAATAAATTCGCACAGTAAGAAGTAAAGTAAGAATTTATTCTTCTAGATGAAAAATTGCTATTTCGAACTTGTCCTAAGCAATTCATTCACAATAGTTGAATTTGTTCGCAACAGCTGTTGATTGATTGTTTACAAAATTCGATAAAATTCACAACAGAGGAAATCTGTTGACGTCAGAAAAATTAGTGAATGAAAAAAGTAAAATTTTTATTGCCGATCCACAATTACCACAATTTTTAAGCGATTTCTAAAACTCTAATAACAACAAGCTAAGCCTTTAAAAAGCTTAATTATAAATATATACTTTCGAAGACAAGTCGGTAAGAAAATTAAATCAAAGTATAAAAACTGGAGAAAAATTAAATGTCTTAAGTTTTCGAACGAAAAATTTCATTATTTCGTTCGAAAATGAGACTCGAAAATAATGAAATAAATTCGCACATATTGTTTCCAAATATATAGAATTTATTAAATTTGTATGCTTAAATCTATAGCCTATTTTTAGGAGTTTATATAAAATATTGTAAAGAAGGTTGAGTGACAGATAGCTCTCTAATTGCTGAGACAATTTTGTTATTATGTTCCAAAAAGGGATTCGAATTTAAGCATAAAAATTTACATGAAAAGCTTAAACCTGCTAGTTTCTAAACATATAGAATTTCTTCAATTTGTGTCCTTATATACATAGCCTACTTTTAGGCGTTCAAACAAAACATTGTAAAGAATGTTAAGAGAAATAAAGTTTTCTAAATTTGTTTATTACTAAACGATTTCAAAAATTTTATACAATTTGTTTCTAAAACACTACAAACTTTTAAAATTATGAAAAAGATTTAAAGGGTTTTATAGAAAATTCGTTAGAAAAATTAAGTTAAAGTAGGAAAATTAAGAAAAATTAAATTTTAAATTATGTTTGAAATATAAGTTTCAAATATAATGAAATAGATGATTTTAGAAAGCTAAAGCTTTCATGATTCCAAAACTAATTTAAAACTAAATTTTGAATAAAAAATATAAAAGTTTTGCATACTTTAAAGCTTAGACTCTTACAAAAATGTATACTTTTATAATATCACGAAAATATAAAGAATTTTTTTAAATTTTCGAAACTATTTACTAGAATTTTTATGTTTTAATATATAAATAACAAGTTTTTTATTTAAATGTTAATATTTTATATTTTTAAACATACAAAATCTATTTTATAAAATAAATCTCTTTACAATTTTGTTTTTTTTTTTATAGAATTTATTTAGAATTCTTTTTTAGGGTTTACTTAAAATTAAGAGGCTTGATTATTGGTGTTTATATGAAATTTAAAATTTTTTAAAAAATTTTCTTTAAAGCAAGTTTTTTAAATCTTTTTAAATTAAAAAAAAGTATATAATAAAATATTTATATTTCTTTAATTATTTTTTCTAAAAAAAAAAACAACTACAAACATATAAACCCATCCATTATATAACAAATAAAATGATCTCAAAAATTTTTTAAGAAATATAAATATTTTTGTAAAATTATAACATTTCCTAAAACAAAACCTAAAATTTCCAATTTTATTAATTTAACATTACTTTTTAAGCTGTTAAAGTAACAAATTAAAAATTCATTAAGTTAATTAGTAGTTTTCTTTTATGTGGAAAAACCATTTGAAAAATAAAACAATTTAAAAGTTTTAATTTCTGTTTAGTGTAAATTATATATATATAAAATATATATTTGTGTAATAACAATTTTTTTTTAATTTTTAAGATTTTAAATCGTTTAATTATAATTATATAACAAAAATACAAAATCTATATAAATAAATAAATAATTTTTAAATTTATTATTAAAAAAAATAAACAAAAAAAACACGAAAAAATAATTATTATTGTAAAATTAATGTATAAAAAAAAGATTAAAACTAAATTTAACAAAAAAAAATAAATTCATTTGTTTATGAATTTGAACCATCCACCGTTTTTTAAAAAACAAAAACTCTAAAAAAAAAGAAATTTAAAAATTATTATTTTTTTTAATAATTTGTAGAAAGAATAATAACATTTTATTTTATAAACTTAGTTAGTTGATATATAAAATAAACTTTTGTTCTTTAATTTTTTTTAATTAAGTAAATTAATTTAGTTTTTTTTTATATACATATAAAAATTAATTATTAAGTGTAAAAAGTATTTTCATAATTTTTTTTTTTTTCGCTTTAAACTTAATTTAATAAACTTAAAGCTAATATTTTTGTTTTATTTTCTCTTAAAACACCAACTTAACGAAATGATTTAAATTAAACTTATAATAAACAAAAATAAAAAACAATAAATAAAAATACATTTTCATTAATAAAAAATAATTATAAAAACTTAACAATATCTAAAAATAATTGAAGGGTAAACAGTAACAATAATTTTTTTTATATATATAAACAAAAACTATATAGAAATTTAAAAATAATTAAAATAAAACGTATACATATTTATAAATTTACTTACAAAAACATCTCTAAAAAAAACAGAATTGACAAGACAACCAATAATAATAAAAAAAAGTTTCATTACAAAATACAAATCTTTAAAATAAACAAAAATTTTTTTTTTGCAAATTTGTCATAAATTTAATAATAAAAAAATTAAAACTAAAATTCATTAAGAGAACATTATCTAAACAAAATATAAAAAAATAATAGTGCCTACGTGACAGACAAAAAAAAATTAAAAAAAAAGAGTTTAAAAAAATTGTGTAATTGATAATCTAAATGAATAAAAGTTTAAGAAATGTAATTAAAATAGAAAGAAATATTTAAAAAATCTCATAAACTTGCTAAAAAGAAAATTTAAAATAAAAATCAATTGTATTTATTAATGTATTACCTTTTTTAGTTAGTACATACTATTCTTTTTAATTAAAAAAAAAAAAACTTAAAACAATAAAACATTTCTGTGCAACTTTAACATTTAATTACATATTTCTTTGCAAAATGTTTTAATATTGCCTCCAAGTGAGTTTAAATTTTTAAATTTTATTAGTAAATTTGTAATTTTCTTGAAAATAGAACGAGTGTAAAAAGTATCCCTTCAGATTGTTGAACAGCCACCTTAAGGAACCAGTTCTGTAAAACATTGTTGTGATTCCAAAACTACTTATAAGAACTTCTCAAGGAATCAATTCTATTGTACTGTTAAAACAATAGTTGAAAGAACGCATACTAGTTCTGTAACCACATCTTGGAACCAGTTCTAGAATGAGTGTAAACA